CTCTGGACTTTTTGCCTATAATTTGGCAGGTTTCTTACCCAGGGGCCCCCATCTAATGTCTGCAGTCTTAAGGCCAATTGTCCACAAAACACTGCAGGAGATTAAGTGATTCATTTTCTTATCCATCTTAAAATTCTAATAGCTACTCTTGTGTGCAAAACTACAACAGCTATCCTTCTGGAATTTGACATGATCCATGTCCTAAGAAGGAGAGATGCCTGCAAATTTCATTCAGTCATGCCCTCAAATAAAATAAAGCCATGGACTTTTACTTTAAAATAACAAAGCCTACATTTTAAATGTCACCAGCAAAAAAATCCTGTAATTTGGCAGGCTTCATTCATGTATTTTGCCTATACATTTCGTTCACATCTGTCAAAAGGTGGGGGGAATTGTTGACATTTTTTTTTATTTCCAATAGTGAATGGAGGGATGAAATAGAGTAGGATGGTCTGAAGTTGAAATGGGCTGCAGCACAGACTGAGACAGCCTTTTTCCAAAGCCCAAATCCTGATCCAAACTAAACCTTGTTTGTGTGCCCCTCTAATACAAACTTGGTAAAAAAGTGGGGGAAAGTACCACTTTGCTGAGCAATGTAGGATTGTGTGCCCATTAATAAGATTCATTTTATATCCTGAGGGTTTTGTCACAAATCCACATTTTAAGCAAACCCTCATTACCTTAGGCTAAGTGGAAGGCCAGTTTAGCAAAGGTTTTGTTACTTACATTGCTTTCTATTACCTGTCAGATGACTGAACTTCTACCATTTAACGATATGCTAACAAACTAAAGTCCCTAGAGAGTCTTGGAAGCACAGTCTGTTCTAATGAATGCCTACCAAAGAACCCCTGCCGCCTCCTAAGAGACTTTGTGGTGTGAACAGCCTACTTAAATGAGAGAAGATGACAAAATGTTGTTGACAGTGGGTTTCCTACATTGGAAGACAAATATTACCTTAGAGGCCACTTCCAAGCTCATGATTCTAATCCTATTTCAAGATGAGTTTACTGCATGCTGACCTGGGCATGCTTTATTAACGAAACAACAAATATTGTAGAAAGTTGTCTTCAACAGAGTCAGAACATGTCTCCATCTAGCTCTCTATTGTTACTGACACTGGTGCTCTGGGGTTTAGGATAGGGAGTCCCTCCCAGCCCCATAACAAGAAATAAGTTTAATATTTTTGGCATATAAACACGTGCTGTTCCTTTATAGAAAGAAACACATTCTCACAAGACTAAGCTAGAGGGGCATATCTGAAGCCATGTTATGGCATTTGCAAACCTAGGAGGAAGAGCAGATTTCACATCTATCTGTGCCAGACATTGTAGCATCTGAGCCTAGTATGGCTTTATAGCTGTACATGCTCCTACAAAGGTATAGAAACCTGCAACTCTGAAAGCCCACTTGTTCCTTTAAGTTTCTCCACAATATTTTCTTTCCCCCTCAGAACGGGAACAAGAAAAAGATTCTGAATTCTAGTCAGGGTAGTGATTTTCAAAAGAGCTGGTTTTGCTAGCAGACAATGGGCAGATATGAAAAAGGACAGATAAGGATATAGATAACAAGATGAACAATGGGCTTCCCTGAGTGAGAGGGGAAAGGAAAAGAATGGGGAAATGGCACAATGACAATTCCATTGCTATAGAAAAGGTTGTTCCAGTAACAAATTAGGCTACATGTGGTAGGTAGTTGAGCCTTAGGGCCAGTACATACTGTCAGATGCAACAGGAATTTCTGTTGTCATAATCCAGCCTCAACTAGGGTAGATAGCGGAGAATATTTTTGTTTCATTTCAGTTTTACGTGTGTCTAATCATAAGTCTGTTCTGGCCCATTTTCTGCAGATTTTTGTTTTATTTTTAAAATACACACACAAAGCAAATTCATTTAAATGATGTGCATTTTTTTCCGTTTAAAGTGCACATTTTGTATATTTTTCTATCAATTCCCCCCTAAAACACAATTTTGTATGCATTCTGCACTCATTTTCCCTATACAATATGCACACTTGCATTCACTTTTTAACCAAAACTGCACTGCAGTTTCAACAGTCCCATTGTTAACTGTGTTCTAATCCACACTTGGAAAATTAGTCTGGACCACTTTATAATGTGGACTAAATGAAATTCTCCTCCATCAAAGCAATAGGGTCATAGAATTCGAGAGTTGAAAGGGATCATGAGGGTCATCACTGTGCAATGCAGGAATCTTTTGCCCAATGTGGGTCTCAAACCCATGGCTTTGAGATTAAAAGTCCCTTGCTCTACCAACTGAGCTATGTATGACAATGAAAATCCAGAAGCCCCCATACAATCTAGCAACAAACATAGATGGATTGTCATGCTGCCCATTTGCCCTGTGCCACACATTTATTCAAACCTCTGCACGTAGCCTACATCTATATAGGTGGAACTCATATCAGCACTCTCTATGCAGTCTCTTGAAATAATGGAGGGTGGAGGGACTAGAACATGCATTTGTAGAAGTACCCTCTGTACAGAAGGTCAGATCAGTGTGCAAAGACCATACGCAAGGCCAGAAAGTCCATGTTCTCCTAGATAGTTCATCCTCCCTAGATTATTTTCTGCACAGAGTTAGAGAGCAGGCTGTGTGCAACAGCAGGAACAAAAGAACAGCAGGAGCTCTGCAAAAGTGTGGGATGATAACCATACCTTGTACTTTGTCTACAGATTAAAATAACAAATAACCTACTTTCAGCCCAAGTGGAGCTGTACTAGAAGGAAGAAAGAAAATTGAATCTGGAGTGGTAGGGAGCATGCTTTGCATGTAGGAAGACCCATATTCAGTCATATTATGAAGGGCCAGTGGGTGTGCTGGGAAGTCTTAGAAACAGCTGCCTACAAGTTTTGATAGAATGAGCTATAGGAATAATTGATCTGACACATAATTGATCATACTTGTCAGCAGGAAAACCACATTAAAGTTCCAGATTTGAGCACTGGGGTTTCTAAAAACAGGGGATGTCTCAGAGGAAAGACATCTGAAATCCAGGTGAACCACCGGAAAAGTGGAATATTTAATGTTGAGTGCCTCTGCAGATTATGTTCAATTCTGCTGGGTGTCTTGAAGGAACTCAGTCTAGATTCAGCCTTCTGTCATATTAATAACATCCACTGGAATCTCCTCTGAGTGGCAGTTTCTGGTGGGCTAGGCACATTCAAAAGGCTCTGGAACTCAAGATGCCAAAAAAGTATCTGTCTCCAAACGCTGTGGAATCTGTTCTTCCATAATCCATGCTTTTGACTGTTCTACATGCACACATTACTTCTCTTTCACTCACTTGCCCTTCTTTGACCTTGCCTTGGATTTTCTGAAACTTGCAGCATTTTCTGATTATACAGCTATGTTTTCCAGATCTCCCTGATAGTTCTTAGTTCCTTGATGGTTCCCTGTTCCAAATTTTGCTGTTGTAGAGAACATGTAAGTGTTGCAGCTTGTTGACATCACAGACATGGTAACACCTTGAGATGATCTTTCTCTCTTTCTAAATGTGAAGATTGTTGTTGTGTTACACCCCATTCAACAAATTGGTGTGAACCCATTTGTGGCTAATCATAGTTCTAACACATAGATTTTGTTAAATAACAAAATGGTCGTGGCTGTTAAGTTAGTCTAAGGGTCTTGCAGATTTTAGAAATTCATTGGAAGGGGACTGGCTTTTTCCCTTCATATAATTGTATATGTAGGCTGCCATCAATATATTACATAAATGCAACAGGAGGGGACTCAGTGGTGAATGTGTGTTGGCCAGCAATGAGATGTATCACAGTCAGATTCTTTCCAGGAGGGAGTTATCAAAGAAAGTACTGCACCATACTCATAAATGCACCTGGATTATGTAGTTAAAGGGAAATGTTGTTAGGAAGGCAAGTGTTGCAGATTCCTTTTTAAATGGACTGAAGTGTGCTGGTGTGGCTAGTTCCAAACATTTCCTTCCCTCCAATGGAGAAGCTGAACTGTCATGGTGGAAATTCACCTTTCCAAGTTTCCCATTGGTTTGCTGCCCATCAAACTTCTGATCTTCAGTGAGCTCTTCCTCTTGATATGCCTGCACCAATGTGAGTTGGCCATTAAACTTCTGTGCATTGCACTCTGAGGGAGCATTCTCTGGTACCTTGAGGAAATTGGGTTCTGGTGTTGCCTTTCACAAACTGAGAATACAGTCTAGGATATCACATTGCCATTTCCTGTGCACATTGCAGGGGAAGATTTGGTAATTTCCCTTAGGGAAGCTGTCCAGCATTAATGATCTTGTTAAGAATCACTGTTAGGTTTCCAAGAAGCACTGTTGCTCTGAAAAAATAAAGTCTGAAAATCATTCTTCTGACGCAGGGAGAGCACAAGAGATTCAACGAAACATAGGAGAGAGAGGAATGACAATGCATTTGTATGCCATACATGATATTAGAGCACTAGCTAAGGTGTCCATTTATCTTTAGTGGCTATGAAACCATCGACCATATGTAAATAGTGGCATGTGATGGAGATAATGTAAAACCACATACTGAAGTCACTTCACACTCATTCCCTTTAGAACTTCGTTGGGTTCTTCCATATTTCCTTTACAGACACTACCTGTTATGACAAGCACTCTGTTTTCACTATGACCCTCCACTGGGCAATGGTGTTTGCAGGACATTTAGTCTCACAAACACTCCTGCACCTAAAGAGCTCTGCTGTGAATTAAATGGCAATTTGTGCATGCATAAGTTTTGGTATGCGCTGAACAAAAGTGGATATACATAACTTAATGGGGGAGTTGCCTAACTAAAAAAATACAGCTTTTTACAAGTACTTTGAATTCAGAAACACCATTGCTCGCTCTCTCACACACACTAAAACACTTTTAATAAAGTCAGGAACTAAAAACCACTGTGAGGTTGAGTGCAGCCATTTTATTGGAAAAAAAAACTATGGGTATGTGCATTTCTTTCTTTAAAACACATTAGACAAGGAGCAATTGATGATCAGGAGTTATAGCTTTCTATACATGTTTATTTCCAAAACTATACAGACATTGGAAAATTGTCCTTAGGTCTCTGTATTGGTTATTGTTAATTCTGCAGTGATAATATATATATATATATCATATATATCATTCATATATATATATATATATATATATATATATATATATATATATATATTTCCTCATTCCCAGTTGCAAACCTATTTGATATGAACTGGTGTTTTCAGTTTGTGACAATAAAAAAAAGTTGGTTATATTTACATGTGCTTAACGTTGCATAATTGACCATTGTACAGGTGTTTTAAAACCATTAGCTACTGCTAAATGAATTTCAAGATTCACCCAAGTGGGTTTGGTTGTTATTTGAATACACATGTGCTACACAGATACGGTTTATTAAAGACACCCTCTCTCTCACTCCCACCATCACCACTTTTGTGTTTTTGCTGTTCATTTACCTCTAAATCATGTTTTAGCTGTGGATATACTCTATATCATCATCAACCAACTGGGGTAGAGGAATACAACTGACCCCACACAAATGCATGGTGAACAGTGGGACTATATACTGGCAAAAATGAAAATGTCCCAACATCTGCTTGGAAAACAAATGTTTGCTGCATTTGTGAAAAAGCAAATATAGCAAGAGCTATATTTGGCTCTGGTTTCTTCAGATGGATCATGCATCTCAGCAAAATATTCTAGGTGCAAATGATCGGCATTCAGAGTAGGGAATGATCAGTTGACTGCAAACAAATGCTTCAGAATACCGCAGCCAATCTTGTAGTACATAATAATTGTAGTTTCAGTTGCTATGGAGAAATGAGGAATAAAACAGCAGCAAACACCTGGAGCTAATCTATAGACTAAGGTATTATTTATATTGGTCTTACTGATGTGCTCTGTCTATGGATCATGTTCTGTTCAACGTCTTAAGGCTTGTCTAACTTCTTACAGAAAGTGCTGTCTGTTCAAATCTTCCATGCATGAGGGAGAAGGCATTTCTGCCAGGAAAGAAAAGGATGATTTTAATCCATGTTTTTTTCTGCTATAACAGCAAAGCCAGGGATATGAAATAAAATACAATATTGTATATGGTATCTTCGCTCCATTTATCCCCCCCAAAAAATAATAATTCTCCATGCACTAGACCCAAGTACTACAAGGTAGTGAAATATTTACAACATTTGTACATGTGCTTTTAGGGAGGTCACCCAAAAGTTCTATTTTTATTTGGATGTAAAGAAAAGCTATTTTCCCCTAGACTAGTTACATCGATCTGAAGTGAGAGATGACTCTTCCAAAAGGAAAAGCCCACAGAGGACAAAGATATCACATATTTATAGTGAATGCTCACAAACTGAATGGTATTTTTACCTTTGAACTGCTGCCACTGCATAATGCCCAAAATCTAATGGTCTGTGGGTCCTCTCCCTACGGTGCCTCTCAGATTCATTGGTATCGTATGTAATACTTGTTTCTTTTTTTGCTTATCGAATTTCTTAAAACGTTGACTGATAGCATTCAAACTACAACAATTTCATGGTAGCCTTAGACAATATATATGATATGATATTTACTGGGCTATGGCACTAAAGAATTCAGACCACTTTAGAAGTTCAGAGTTCCATGATGTGCAATGGATTCCTAAGTGACGCAGGGCTGATCCACCTCCTGCACATGTCAGGGAATGCTCTGTGTGCATAAAGGAGCGTGCGTAGAGTATTCCCAGGCACAAAAGAGAATGGGATGCTTCTACTTGCAGGAAAGCCCACGAGTATGTTAAAAATTCCCCTCAAGTGCACTACAGCCATTGGAGCGGGGCGTCAGCTTGGATTTATACAGGTTACCCATCTCTCTAATAAATTCCAGGAGTAAGGCTCTTCTCACCCAATTTCTTTTCTACTTGTTTAAAGGTAAAGGTAGGACACCCAGTAGACCAGATTAAACAAACAGAATGCAGTTGGGAAAAATATACGGGCGTATGAGTCCATTTTGGCAATGCGGATGTGTATCCTTCCATGCCGCCAGGCTCCCGTTCGGCAATCCTCAAAGCAGCAGAAGAAACTTGCGCAGTCCTTGCCATCGAGACATTCATATCCATATTCTTCGTCCCGTTCTTGGAGGTGTGTGGCATTGTTCATTTGGATAGTAGCTGACCTGGGGCGGATATCGATTGTAGGTGCCTAGGACAAACGAGCAGCAAGAAAGGGCAGAGAGGAGAATGAGTGATTTGCTCGTTGCTACAATGTTCTGTTTCAACTAACATTCAACAAATCGGTTGCTCTACATAATGTCAGAATGAGGGAGCCATGATGCTTAGATATGTTACAATGATGAACCTTTAATCTGGAACTTTCTCAAAGCAACAATTCAACACTTAGTCTTTAAATTCCCATTTTACTTAACAGCATCGGTTTGGTAGGGTTTAATTCCAAATAGGAATGCAGAATAAAAAGTACTGAGATTTGTTTAAGTGACTGCTTCATATAAGAAGGCAATCACAATTCTCCCTCCCCCACCCCATATCACTATTAAGTTGGGGGGGGGGTTGAGAGATAATTTAAATGCAGAATTCTTGAAAAAGAATGCTTTATGTTCCTGCATGGCTAGGTAATTTAATTTGGTTAAGGGGAAGAGGATGCCACATAAGAATTATTTGAATATAGGTTAGGTGGGGCTCTATAATGATCTCTGCTATGAAGCACTCCTGACAACATGCAGCTCTTGGTTAACAATGGTCCGTTGACTAAAAGCTTCATAATGTCAACACAGTATACAGCAGCTGTACATGTAGAATCACTTGAATCATGTTTTACTGACAATCTCTTTTGATCCTTTGGTGAACATACTGCACAAAAAACAGCAGCTGGCACACAAATGATCAAAAAGAGTGAATTGTTAAAATTAAGGCTGGAGTCGGAAAAATTGTTTGAAACAAAGTAAAATTATAATTTTAATAAAGCTCTGATTTTGGCTCCCACCTGCTTTTTTTGGGGGGGGGGGAATCACCCAGAAGAACTAAGTATCTGCATTTCAGAATGAGGGATATTTCAAGTTGTTATACAGCTACCTATATTTGCCATTTTGGATAGCAAATGATCTGAAGAGCTGGGGACAGCATCGAATGTAAGCAATTTATACCCTTTCAAAACTCTGAGAGTTTGTGTAAGAACAATATTGGCACCATTCCAATAGCATCTGATTGTTCATTGCAGATCTTTGAGAGATTTGAAGCTTGCATATCTTTAAATGAGATCATTAAGAGTCAGAACTGAGTTCTAAAAGGGTTTTTGTGGATTCTTGGTGTAGCTAGTGGATTGGATCCCATGAATAGCTAAAAAAGAGAGCAGCACAAATGCTTTGGTTTTACTACTAGGCTCTCTTCATGCATGCGATCCAAACATGTTAAAATCCATTGAACTTATCATAAGTTCAAAACAGTAGTGAATTAGTGTTTGGGCTGCTGAATCAACTTCATGTTAATATCTACATATTAGCCATTCTACTTCACTGCAAGGTTGCTTCAAGTAGAATGAATAAATATCTAGCAAGCCTTTACTGAAGCTATAGTTGTTCAATTCAGCAGTCACATGCAGTGGATTTCTATACCAAAAATATTATACCTTGAATGAAAACATCCGAAGAAGCTTTGGTTTTGTAGACAGAAAAAGAAAGAATCAGAGGTTTTTAAATTAAAGAAAGGTAGAGAGGGGGGAAAGGAGACAAAAAAAGTAGCATAAATTAAAGTTACTTTTCTAAACTATAGCAAGTCAAAAGAAATAGAAATAGAAAAAGGATTTAAGATAGAATTTTCTATAAGAACTTTACAAGCGATTAACATGTAAAGAAGGATCTGAGTTAACAAAACTTGGAAATCCAATTTAAAATAGATTGACAGTTCAGGGTTCTGTGGTTTGTTCTGAGTTATTTCCATGGATAGGCAAACATACTGTGAGTAAGACAGTCAAATACTACCATTTTCTTTTCTGCTCCTCTAACTAAGGGGAAAGACCCACTAGTCTTGAGTAGATAATGTTCTTCCTCAAGGTCTATAGGCATTGGTTTCTACCCTTTTACCTTCCTTGTTCACAATATGGTGAACAAGGATTGCAGATTGTAGAAGTATCTCTTGGTTCTTAAACTATTTGTTTAAGAGATTTATATATTGCCTTTTATCAATGATTTCAATGCAGATTACACAAATTAAGACAACAGCATTAAAAGGGAGGAGGGACAGCATTGTGCTAATAGAACACCCTATAAAATAAATAACTTATAATAGTAAGTGGTAGAAAAGAGAGAAGGGAGAAAATACAGGCAGTGAAAAGAAAAGAGATGGGAATAAAGTGGCAGGGGGAAGAGATACAAGAAGAAATCATTCATATTTTGAAATTCAGATTAGTAATGTCCATACTCTCAACCTTCCTTCTGTCCTTAATACAATGCTCCTAGGACTCAACAGGTTTATAGGATCAGCGAGGAGACTTCTATGGGTACAGGTAGATCATCTTGAGGTAACTTCCCTGCTGCCATCTTTCAATATTAGCAAGGAGTCCAAGGACACCCATAAAGGCAGTGGGTCACATTCCTCAGATGCCCCACGTTACAGGCCTGCCTTCTAACCTCCACCACCCATATATCTGTAGACACAATTCCAAAAGGCTACTCCTATCAGAAACTGTGGTGTGCCTTGGTGGGAGCTGGAACAATACAAACACACATCTATAGTCTTGATTTGCCCTGTTATTTTCAATCAACCAGAACTGTCCTCTGTGCCTGGGCTACAAAGCAGTTTGACCACAGCCTCAGAGTTCACAAGCCATCACCAAATGAGCTAGTTGATGAAAATACATGCTCCAAAAGAGAGGGACCATAATTCCAGGCAGATTAATTTTAAATGTTACATGCAGCCCAATCCTGTGCTGGAATTCAATGCAGCTTGCTCCCACAAAGTGTACCTAGGATTTAGTTTGTTCCCATGGTTACAGCAATTAAACACAATAGAAGATATGCATATGAACAGAAAATGGACCAAATAAAAGTGGTCAATTTTCCTGTCACTAACAGTTAAGTTTCCTTTAACTGTGAGATTTGATGTATAGCTATTTGTCAGATTTTGTCACTCAGTCTTGATACTCTTCTGGAATCTGGTACTCTGGTATTCTGGTACTCTTCTGGAATCTGGCTATCAAAGCCAACCCTGGTATAAAAAAGGATCATGTGAACCTGATCAGCCATTTCCTTTCTTTCCCTTCCCTGGTCATCAAGCAAACCTTCTATGGTTTCCACTTCTAATACAGCTACAGGACAACAAAATGCTCATTTCTGGGAAACATAATTAAAATGTGGGTTATCAGTTGGTGTAGTAATAAAAATACATACAGGGTTTTTCTTCTTTTTGTCTTTATCCTTGCTTGGCTTTCTGTTACTGACAAAATAGTGAAGAGTCCCATACTCCACCAGGGCAGAAAAAACAAAAATAAAGCAAACTGATACAAAAAGATCCATTGCTGTCACATAAGAGACCTTGGGGAGGGATTTGCGAGCGATCGTGCTGAGGGTGGTCATTGTCAGGACAGTTGTGATACCTAGGAAGGGAACAGAAAATACAGTACTACTTCAGGGTTCTCCCTTGCGTAGAGGAGCTGTGTGGCATATGCTGGCATGAGCAGAAGGCCCTTTCACACTGCTGCTGAATGCACAACATCACAATCCTCTCCCATATGCTTCAACACATGAGGCATTCCTTGTACTGCTTAATTCCACATTAACATTCAGCTCCCTCATTGTGAGTCCCTATGGAATGCTGCTGATTTCTGTGGGATTAGAACAATCAGCTTGCCTCGATATGGTCAGAAATGTGCTTATATAAACCAATAAACTGTGAGGTTCCCCTGAGAAATGCAAGCAAAGGTCTCAGTGCTTCAGGATGAGGTGAGCAATGCATCATAATAATACCCTTGGGTTGCATGCTGCCTCTCTCCTTGGGCATCTCCAAAGTGTTTACAGATATTGATTAACTGAGCTTACAAATAGGCCTCTTTCACTTAAGATCTATGTAGGACCACTGGTCCATGTAAACATCTCACTCGAGTGTGCTTCAAGGGATAAGGAGTGTCACAGTATTGTAAATGGCAATGTTTATCACACTGGGCAGCATTAGCGCATAGCAGTGATTGAACTAAAAGTGCTGGATTTTCCATTTCAGTTGCACAGAAGGATGTAGTTACATCAGCTTCAACTGTTCCATTACTCCTGCTAAGTATCAAATGTTGGCTGTGTTTTCATGACACGGAGCTACTGTATCCATAGACAAAGCAGAGGGCCCAATTTTATGAATTGGAAAAACTAGGCCTAGAAACACTCTGGGATTCTCTAAAGGTCATTTTAATTCTACTGAAACACCATGGAAATAATTTTGTTCACTACAATAACATGAAATAAAGCAGGCATTCCAGTCACACAGTGATGTATGAATTGGCCCCAGATCCTGACAGTTTGGATCCATGTGCACAGGGAATGGTCATAATTCAGTATAGGAACACAAACAATCGGAATAAAGAGAAGCCATGACCTACCCAAAGATGTTCTGGCTGGGACGGCATCCTTATTAATCCAGAAAGAGACCCAAGATAGCACTACAATGAGTGTGCAAGGGATGTAAGTCTGAATGGTGAAGTAGCCCATCCTTCTGCTTAGATCAAAGTAGACTGCCATGACCACATAATCTCCTGTAAAATATATGTTATGCAAGGTGATAGGGTTTAAGGTGTAATAGTCATTCCTCAGTTATGATTTTTCTGTAATTTTCACTGGATGGTATTCAATTAAGTTTTATTCAGAGTAAACATATCGAAATTGATGAACCTAATTAATCATGTTCATTAAATCCAATGGAGTATAGCCTGGTTTAATGTCACCCATTGTGTTCAGTGAGGGTTATTCCCAATTAAATCTGCAAAGGTGTTCAACCTTAATCTGCCGTCTAAAGGTCAGTAAATAAGGCACTAGACTGTTCCTCTGCTCACCCCAGGAAAGGCCCTACTGTTGAACACCACAGAAAAGATTCACAACTCATGCTTTCTTCAAGGCAAAGAATTGAACAGGTGTCTCTTTAAAACTAAAGTTAGTGCTTTATTGACTGGAAGGAATGCAGTGAAACTTCTTTGAGGTTACTGTGCTGTGCTTGGTATAATACAACACAGCACAATAAAGCAACATGCTTGCCTCATGTCAGAACACACAGCAAATGGTAATTCATTAGAATTATTTTAATAATAAACATCCCGGCTTTGAGCACTGACATTTGGCGTGCCTATTGTTCGACTATAGAAGCAACCCAGATAATTGCATACCACCATAAGCAATCATAGTCCAAATTTACTACAACAAAATATTTGCATTTAACTTTGTTCAGTGCATGTCACTGCTTGATTTTTGTTTACTTAAAAATGTTCTGCCGTTGCTTTCCACCACTGGGCTTTTTCCAAAGGACTCTGAGGATGTCTACTAAACTTATATTTAAGCCAACATTTAGAGGATTACACAGTTAATTCATGGATATATGAGTGAAAGGGAGAGAGACTGAGTAGGGGGTTGCCCAAAGGTTGATTGGGATCTACTAATAGCTCTCTGGGTGGTCTGAAGTAGATTGACGGGAATTTCTGACTCTAAGTGGATGAAATGTTTAAATGAAGAAAATGGACATAGGTAGGGAATAGATATAAAGAAAGGCACAAAGAAATGCAGGATGGGGAGAGTAACCAGGACTAAACAAAAATATGTGGGAGCCATGTAAACTCAAATTATTTTTTGGTACTCAGAAAGTTCAGAACCCAGGGATTCATTCTAACTCTGTGTATCTTTCTTCTCCCCCCTCCCCAACCTGGCTGCCATTGGTGGATCTTAATGCTCTAGTAAAACATGAAGTAGATCCCACAAGCCTGAAATCTGCCAACCCCCAAGATAGAGTATAGTGCAATACAGAGAATGTGAGTCACACTTAAGGTTAATTACCGTAAATTAACTCACATTAATTTTTCTTGTGGATTTCAATGGGACTTAGTTACCACTCTATATGTTGATATTGAGACCTATTTCAGAATGCTATCTCTAAATGCCTATCCTTAGCCCTTTGGCCACCTCATGTGCTATTAGTTCCAGGTTGTAACCCCTTTCAGTACTTGTGCTAAAGTGGATATATATATATATATATATATATATATATATGCTTTCGTAGATTTTCACGGGTACAGGAATGCAGGTTTTGGTGTCCTCGGGTGTCTTCCCGTGTAAAAGTTGGGGTGTCTAGGCGACGTTTCGACGAGGTCTCACTCGTCATCTTCAGGCTGGTGCTTTCGGCTTCTTGTTACTGGAACAGAGCGGGATCTCAGTGTTTGAGTTCCTATAAATACTGTTGAGGAGGTGTGGTGTATAGCCTCCAAAAGGCTATACACCACACCTCCTCAACAGTATTTATAGGAACTCAAACACTGAGATCCCGCTCTGTTCCAGTAACAAGAAGCCGAAAGCACCAGCCTGAAGATGACGAGTTTGGAGGCTATACACCACACCTCCTCAACAGTATTTATAGGAACTCAAACACTGAGATCCCGCTCTGTTCCAGTAACAAGAAGCCGAAAGCACCAGCCTGAAGATGACGAGTGAGACCTCGTCGAAACGTCGCCTAGACACCCCAACTTTTACACGGGAAAGACACCCGAGGACACCAAAACCTGCATATATATATATATATATATATGCATAATAAACGGCTCCCAAAGCTTCCCTCAGAAACACTGCACTCTGAAATTAACAACACAAGCTCCCATGGGAAATTGAGTTTTCCTGCTCCGTGAATTAGTCACACTGAGCCTTAGGCTTATATGCCCCCTTTCTCTCTTCTCTTCTCTTGCATACCAGAGGTGATTGGAAGCTCTCCTTTTAACTTCCATCTTTTATATCAGAAGTAGCTGCTTGTGGACTCGATATGTCCCCAAGGTTTTTAATGCCCCCCCAAGACCCCCCATAATTTGGCAGTGCTGGCATACTTCTTAACAAACTGCTGTGCCTTCTTCACTTCAGACTTCTTTGCTTTTTAGTGTTAAAGGTCCCTCCCCCAGACTGATTTTGTATGTGTGTGGGGATGTGTGTGTGCTTTCTTATACTCATATACATTACGGCACAGGTATCTGACATCCGAAGATGTGTCATTAGCACATGCAGACTGTGTAAAAAATCTGGGATATTCTGCAGAACCCAAGATGGGAGAGTCACAGGACATTGTGGTCCCAGTGCCATCCATGGAGTGGCTATAGCTATGGTGTTATTGAACAAACTCAAGCGGACAATAATCTGGATTAAAAATGGCCACAACCTTGTTGATTCCAATTGTAGGTGGATTTTTGCTCAGGCATTGGGTGAATATCCGTTCCAGCCTCCTGCCAGAGGGCTGAAGCTTTTAACAGTGTTGTGCCAAGGATTATGGGCTCCCCAAAATAGCAGTCTATGGACGTGGCCATCCTCAGGCTGCCACTGGAAGCTCTATGGCCCATCTACCCCACATTTGGCTTCTGGACAGGGATTTGCATCAAGACTCCTCTAATGGGGTACACTGAATACGCCACTGGATAAGGTCTGGGTGATGCACCACTTCACCCAAAAGCTTGATGACTAGGATTCCACCCAATGCCTTAACCACCAAAAGTTGTGACATTTTGCTTTGGAGAACGCAAAACCTCCAGATAGGCCAATCTCTCTGCAGGCAAATTCCTTCCTGGCTCCAGATATGGCAACCATTAGCAACCAGAGCAAGGTCAGATGGTACAAGGAGGCAAAAACATGGTTAAACAAGAAACCTAGGAAACAAATATGGTTAAACCAGAAACCTGAGAAGCAAGTTATAGTGAATATACATGATAAAACAAATGACCTAGAATGTAACAAAAAGGGTAAAATTACAGGAGCATGGGAGGGTTTGCTCTTCTGGTGATTGTGCTGAAGGAGTCAGTGTCACTGGTGGACCAGAGCAGGAGAAACCAACTCACAAGGCTCTGCCCACTAGTGGAATGATCCTGACTGGCTCATTTAAATACAGAATTTTGGCAGGCAGTCCTGCCCTGCAGTTCAGCCAGCTGAGGAAATTCCCAATGGCTGGTTGAGATTGTGTGTGACAGCTGCCAGGGACAGTGGCCAATCCACGAGGGGCTGCAACAGTCGGCCCCCCGGGAGAAGGCGGAAGTGGCCATTCTCTCCCAGTGATTCCTTGAAGGGCCCTGAGAGAGAAACAGTCCCAGGAGCTCCTACCAGAAGCTCCCACTATCTAAAGGGGGCTTTGTGGTGGAAGGCTAAGTGTAGTACAGATGTAGCTCTGAGAGGCTGCTGCACAGCAATGCCCATATATCTGCAACCCTGGAAGAAAAACACACACCAAAAATTTCTGGGCATCAAACCACCACCTCCACTGTTAAAAGAAAATAGCCAATTAGAGTTAACCAATGAATTTTGCTTCTAATAGCAAGACTAGCATCTTAAATGTTAATTTAGCTAATGTGTACAAACATGAATAAAAATCTGGAATCAAGCTATTTAGATGGGCTCTGTTCAAAGGCAACAGGAGTTTGCGCAGCACAAGCTGCTTTTCATGGGTTAGGAGTTTCCCTTGTTTGCTTCAGGAATAAATGGTGCCAGGACAACAGATGGATGGGGAAAGGAATGAAGAGAAATCTGTGATGCATGACCTAAATTGGTTCAAAGTTTCCCGTGTGGTTTATCAACTGTTCCTTAAGGACTGATCAAATGTTTAACAGCTGGAGTAAACATGGGTCACTGTTTAGATGATAACTAGTAGACACAATGTTATTGGCACAGTTGACAATGGCCACATGGCATGTAGAAACCCAGATATACACCAGCTGTCCTAACAAACCATGCTCTTTACAGGGAGGAAAAGGGAGTGATTTAGAGTGGACATTCTGCTTAAATTCAGGATTGGCTGAATTAAATGTGTTGTGGCAAAATATTCTTCTTTAGCGGGGTGTGGGATTAGTATCCTTTCCTCTTTCATTACTGTATCTTGCAGTATCTGCTAAGAATTTGAGCAAGTCTATATTTCAAATGATGCATCTTCAGCATTTGAACCTGCTGTGGTGCTTTATATAAACACTCGATAATAGTAAGGCACCCATCGCCTCTGAAATTGTACAACTGGCAAGTGATGGCACATCTTGTCAGCTGTATAAGTAAGAAATCTGCCCACAATTAGCACAGGCCCCATGTAAAGCATCATGAATTAGCTCTATCTACTCTGTCCTTTCCAAACATTCATTTCCATGCCACAATTAGAGTTTCACTACATAATGAAGTCAAGCACAATTGCATCTTTAACAACGCTTGCTCCAGAGTTCATTTATGTCAGATTCTCTTTGGGATGAAGCTACCTGCTAGGAACCCAGAAATCCCAACTATATTTTATGACTAATTCTGTATGTGTATCGTGCTAGTGAATGAGTCAGAGATGATCAAACATGTTCAATTCATGAGTGGGAAGCGCATGTATGTCCCAATCGTGGTTCATCCTATGGTCACAGAATCACAAATCAAATTGCTGTGGAATCCAATGGGGGCAGTGCAATGCTTTGTACATAAGACTTGGTGGGCAGGGATTATTCCAGAGAATCACTCTGATATGAAATGACATTTCATTTTTTAAAATTAAGTGCAATTAAGCATT